CAACGAAGTGAGATTAAAAACCGTTTTTCTTACATAACGGATTTAATTAATCGCAAGTTCAATAATATAGTGTAATAGTGTAACCGTAAATTAAATTAATTAACTAGGTATCATCCAGGTCAGGAACCAGAAATTCTTTAGTGTATGAAATTGTTCTTGAGTTTTGATAACAAGAAAGAAGACCTTGAATCAGTGTTGTATACGGGTGGGAAACTTAAATTTAATAATGATCGTCACCATCACTAGCTTAGAAACAAGATTTCCCCTCAGTGACCGCGCTTCAATGGCGGTTGTGTAAAGTGTAAAGTAAAAAAAATCACAACTGCAGTAGGTGATTGTAACAGAGGTTAACGGATGATGCTAAACTCGATTTTCCAATGTGTCACTTTCTGTTCCTACCATTGACTATATATATAGTCAATAGTTCCTACTCACCGTGTGATGCAATCGCCGGACCATACAGCCAATAGGCAAATAGTCCATCTCTTGGGTACGTACGCCTAGCCAATTATTCATAACAACCTTTTTGACTACGATCCTTGATGCCGGTACTTTTTCCTAAGATACACGGCCTACCTACTTAAGAAATAAAATTACAAACGTTCAAAAACCCAACGTTGTGTGATTTTTATCACATTCCCTTCTAATGTTAATGGATAGCCTATACCAATCATTGTTTAGAGAATACGTAATCTGTTAAATAACAAAACAGTTGTTTGTATAAGGTTGTTTTTTTTTCAAACTGGCACCGATAAGTTTACATTACAAGTTGTTTATAAATAAAGCAATTAATGGTAAATAGCTTTGACTGCCAATAACCTTTTACGAGAAAATCCAAAACCAGTTGGTCGGATGTACTACAGTTCTTAACTGTAAACGTTGGTTTTTGGTATACTGATTTCCCTTAGAACCGTTGGTAGCAGCAAGAATAATTTTTACGTACTACAACATCATTGTAATTTACAAATTAGTTATCGTTGATGTTGCACCTTATTTATTACAGGCGTATTCAATTTAACTGTATAAGTTTTGCTTTTTCTGTCTGGATTCCAAAATTTTTTATGCTAAGAAAACGATAGGCTAACGCATTTTAGTAAAACTCAGTAAACCACCATGAATTATTGTTTAAACGCTTTACGTTGTTTGTGCATCAATAGTTCGTAGTCTATTTTGGTAATTTTTATTATAAATTACCAATCTAAATTGTCTATAGTAGGCCTACTCTATTTCATAAAGTAAGCCGTCATTTTGACAGCATTACGGGTCATCTTCGGTCCAAGCAAATATAAATTGTTATGATAAAATTTGATGACATTAACAAAGATTTCAAATACTAATTTTATATGTACTTTGTTATGCTTAAAGCGTAGCAAATTCCCTAATTAAGTTCTGGATTTGTGTGTGTATATGTCTGTTGGTAACGCATTAATGTCCTTTATTTCTCAGTGTTTCACGGAAAGGACAAGCGCACCTTGATAATGAAAAATGTCAACCCGAATAAAGTGTTAAATTGTGCGGTTAATGTAGTACCTTATATACTTTTAACCATTGTGGAAAGTAACTTTCAGGCCTACCTTAGGACTATGCCTCATAGATCTATAAAGCATTTTTTTAGTTTAATCATTGGATTTAACATATGGACCAACATAATCCGGGTGACATTTAATTGCGAAGCATTTGTTTTGCCTTGTGCTTGAAACTGTCAGATACTATATTTGCGAAGGTTTATCTATAACTGTTTTGCCAGCATATCTGAAAATATTCAAATCAACTGCTGTTCTTAATATAAGAAGGTTTCAACTGGCTACGATAAGATCCCCGTGCGTAGAACGGGCACACAGCTAGTATAAAATAAAAGGCAAAGCCCTCACTGACTCACTGACACACTCATCACTAATTCTCCCACTTCCCATTTACCTAGGAGACTGAAATTTGGTACACTGATTCTTTAGGCATTAAATAGGAAAACTAAGTGGTTTTTATTCTGATCGGACTCTCGGGCTCCGCCCCAGTGGCTCTGGAGTTTCTCATGTTAACCTAATGAGTACTCATATTTAAATAGAATAAATGAATCTTAACAGCTGTTTCAATTAAACAAGTTGGTTCGGTATTTACTCAGGGGAGGTATAGAAGAGCCTACGGTGACAGCTGTGGGCTTCTTATTAGCTGAGGGAACGCTATTACCGTAACAATACGGGTTGTGGACATTGGCCTCGGTGGTCTAGTGGTCAGCGTGCCGGGCTGATGAGTTGTAGGTTCCGGGTTCGAATCCCGCTGGTAGCCTTAACTTTTTGTCTAAGACTTTTTCATTATCAGCAAGTTTGGTTGGTTTGGTTTGGTTATGACAGTTTAATTTTATTATTAAGTCATTATAAAGTTTTAATTGAGCAATTTCTAGTTTTATTTATTAAACATAATTATTTTTTCTATTACTTAAATTTTTTTATATTATTTAATTATCAGCAAGTTTGGTTAGTTCGGTTAGGTTATGATAGTTTAATTTTATAATTTAAAAAATATAAAATTGAATTTGAGGAATTTATAATTTTATTTTATGAACAGAACTATTTTTGCGATTAGTAAACCTTCATTGCCAAAGTGCTCTCTACTAGAGCGCTGTTCACGGAGGAATTTTGAACTAAATGCCTCATTCGTACCTCCCCTAAGTCAGACCCAGTTGGTTCTGTTCTATGATGTTCAATAGCATTAAAGTTACAAGGATTACCAACAGAGTGCAGCACTATTATTTTTTTTTTATATTTGACAACAGCTAATTTTAAACCAAAAGGTGAGTGAGCAAAGCGAACGAACTTCAACCCGGAGGCGAGTTAGCGTAGCGAACGAGCTAACCTGAAGGCAAGTGAGCACAGCGAACGAGCTCCAACTTAAAGGTGAGTGAGCGTAGCGAACGAACTTCAACCAGGACGTGTGAGCGCAGCGAACGTGCTCCAACCTAAAGGTGAGTGAGCGTAGCGAACGAACTTCAACCAGGACGTGATTGAGCCATGCGAACGAGCTCACATATGAAGTTAAACGGGGCAAAGCCCGCGGGTACAGCTAGTTATAATATATTTAACTGAAAATCAATTCAGACAAATGGAAATTCGCTTAGTCGGCAGGTTTGCTGCGGCAGGGGTATTTTTATTTATAATCGTTATTATGGACAACCTAATGCGGCTATGAGTGGGAAACATTTGTAGAAAACACTAAAAAACAAGATCAGCTTTTAAAAAATGATAAGATATTTACAAGAAATCAATCATTTTAGACTCTGGATTAATTATATATTAATTAATATTATAAGGCCTTACCTTAGCAATCCTATTTTATTGATCCTAAATTAATTTTAACCCTAATTGTTATACTTTTTTCGTATCAACTATGACTTGAATTGTCTTAAATGCTGTGAAACTTTCTACGAAACCCAATGGGTGGATTCTACTATACCCTATAGAAAAAAATTGGTCTATTAGACTCCGACTGATGATGGACCTTCGGGTCCGAAATTAATTTCGGATCAATAAAATAGGATTGCTAAGGTAAGGCCTTATAATATCAATTAATTACAAGAAATGTTGATTATATCGATCTGTTATGTACATGTTGATTATATCCATAATCTTTGAGTGGAATCGGTTATCATAAATTATGACTATTATTCGTTTTAAAATAACGCCTGTAGCCTAATACTTAGCAATTACTCGAATTCAAGCAATAGGGACACTAGTATTTATACAATTCCACAACAACGATTCTGTGCAGCAAAAGTGAATTACGAAAACTGCTCTATTCAAATATCAATCACTATTTGATTTTATGTGTTGTGTTTTACCAGTCCAGTTTCTAACACTCGGATTGTTCAAACAAATCAACATTTTAACACGTTATCCCTGCAGTTGCGGTTTATAGGTTTAGCACGCGTGTCATTAGTTATAGTCCAGTAGTCGACAATGTGTCGAGGAGGCAGTGAACCGGAAAATGGAGCAGTTTAGTTCCGGGCCATTGGCAGCACTGGTGGCGGTTGCACGAGTGGCCGCGCGTAGCGCTACTGTCTGCTCTTCCCACAGACCAACAAACAAATCAACCACGGCACGCGCCCATCGTTTATCTTGTAGTCGGTAGCCTTTGCTTTGTCCCCCTCATATTCCTTTATTGTTTACCCTTTGTATTCCTCCGTGTTTGATTTTCCCGAGGTTGAATATTTGCTGATGTCAGAGCTGGTTAGTTTTGTTGTGTGTAAGTGAAATCTATCTAGTGTTTAGGAAAAATTATGAACATTGTAGAATGGCGGTGCCGTAGGCTACCTGTATGTGGCATTTTGTGGTTTTCAATTTTAACCAAAAAACAATGTTTAATGTTTTATGGGCCTTTGGAATGATGTGAGACAGAACTAATTGAGTTACAATTCTGTAAGTACAGTTTATATAATTTGACTATCAATATAAAAATAATTTTGTAATCAATATCAATATAATTACAAACTATCAATGTATAATTATTGATAGTTTATAATATTTTTTACACCACAATCCAATGTTGTGTAAGGTAAGTTAGTAAAAGTAATTATTAGTTGCCAGTTTGTTATTAGTAGTGGCCCAATTTCATTATCTTTATATCAACCGTTTGGATTCATCAAGACCTGTAAAATTATATGAATGTCGACTATACTACCCATTTAAATATTTTAAGCTACCCCTACCCCTACTGTTAAAAAGGATACAATTAAAACAAAAAATAACCATCATTATAGCAGCCCTTCATATCTAAGGCCACAAACTGATTTCAAATATCTCAAATAGTTAAAAGTTGAGGGGTGTACAAGCTATTTTGTATGTGTAGTTCTGAATCCAAAAGTCAATGCATTGAATAAATAACACAAAATATTCATTTATTTATACATGATGAAACATTGAGACAGTGTAATATTTTAACTCATGTGACATAAGGACCCATCAATACCTCCAGCCTCCGAATCCTCCATTCAGCAATTCCTGCAGTACCTGGGAAAGCTGCACATCTGGGCAATTGCGAGGAACCCAGAGACGAAGGAGCACAGCACTATGAACACCACTCCTCCTATAACTACACAGAACCAGTCAAACATTGTGGGAACGGTCCAAACTCACAGCTTCACAACCTCAAGACTTCAGTTGACGAGGAAGTATTTGAAAATCACACGGGTGACCACCAAAATACCTTGTAGATTGGTACTGGAAATTTGGAATTTTAATTCTGTTGAAGCCATGGTTACCGTCAGCCATGGTAAAATGAGTTACGTTTGAGCACAGAAAACATACTACTATAACTGTTCTTTTTGAAGTTCATTGTTGGTGATGGTGAGTTAATGTTGTTCAAAGGTTTATTGCGGACATTTTCCATCACGAATGTAAAAAAACAATACACAACGTTTCGGGATCTGGAATCTGATCCCGTCCTCAGGTGAAAAAAACTTAACTAACACATTACAACTAACAATACACAAACGCCCAACCTAAGTTGGAATACACTACAGAAGGTAGCAGTCAAAATATCAGTGCATATATCAAATATCAGTTTTTTCTAGTGGGGCCTTGGGCCTTTACCCAATAATTTTGAAAATCCGTAAATTAGTCTTTTTCACGGGTGATTTTAACTTCTAAATAATAGTTAATCATTATGTTTGCTCCACCCACTGCAAGCTCTGATATGTTAAGAGCACAAGTGCACAATCATTGGAAACAAATTAGTTTTAGAATGTTGAGAGCTTGTAGAGGCATGTTCAGGAACATTAGCATGTTTAGCCGCCATCTTGAATTGACCTGGTAAACGTTTTTACCTAATACCATTGACTATACACACCCTATGTTCCATAATCGAATGTTTATTTGATTGATTAAACGTGCCTAATGGGATAAAGGTTTTTGTACTATCGAAAAAACTAGTTTATCTATTTACGGACAAGAAGAACCACCAAAACCGCGGAATGTGCGCTTGAAGGCAATGCATCGATAGTCAATGATTTCCTTGATTTGGTTGTGTTTAGGTAGCCATTTTCATCCACTTGTAAAATTGAAAAAATCGAAATCGGAGGTATATTTGATTGACCACGTATGCTGGTTTTGGGTAAAGGTTGTTTTACTGACGAAAATTTCAGTTTCAATTTTCTGTATTGTAGCGAGATATTTATTCTGTATTGTCAAGAATCACCAAAACCATAGAATGTGTATTGGTAGTGTATCTATAGTCAATTATTTCACTAATCGGCGATTGAAAATTTCAATAGTCCTTCACACAACATAAAACAATGCACTTTTAACCCGATACAGTTTATCCACAACGATTAGCTCTTACATAACCCACACCGTCCCTTCAAACCTATCAATCGCATCCCCCGGGAGTAATTATACGATATTTGCAAACGACTGGTAACTAGGGTGACCTCCCCCCTCCCCCGAGCACTGGCGATGACAGGAGACAGGCCCCTCGGTGTGAAATCTCAATTGGAGCCGCCGCCCCCCGCACGCGCCTGTACATGACAAACTACCCCCTTCCACGCCGTATACGCCCCTGTCCTCGCGGCCCCCTTGATTTTCGAGAGCTCTAATCAAGTGCACAAGATGTTATCGTTTTGATTTGCTAAAGGGACTTGAAAGAGTTGGTTTTTGGACGAGTTGGTTTTTGAGTTGTTTTTTTAGGGGGGAGGAGGGGTGTGCAAGATTGAGACTGTATAGAAAGTCATATCTGGAAATTTCCCAGGCCACTTACTATTCGGTTTATGGATTTGATGCAAAAAACAGCTGCGGCTCTCAAAGCTTCGCTACTTATTAAATCGACTGGTTAATTGTTGCGTAATTCAAGGGAACTAGATCGGTAAATGTGTAGTGGATTTGTTATGTACAATAACATTTACTTTGCGACGTAAATGAAAATAGAAACGTGTTGTTACCTTACCAAACAAGAAATTGTTAGCCTATTTTTGTAACTACAGTAGTGAGTGAAGTGGCACTTTGCTGTACATGAGAGAAATGTTTACGCACGAGCCGTAGACAAGGTTGGAAAGTTTCTCGAGTGCAGCAAAGGCAATTTGAACTCACACATTTTTTTTAGTTATATTTTTCATTTGTTATTATATTTTTACAGTTACTGTAAAGCATAGGAATAATTATTATTAGTCTCTTAAACACTAAACAACACTTTTAGGTTATGTTAAATCATACGGAAAGTAAATAAAAGAAACGTCTTATAACACTTAAAACATATATTTACGCTTATACTGTTACTCACAAGACGGTAAATATACAAAAACGATGGTAAGTGGTGATCGATTTCGATTGGACACTCCAATCATCATCAGACCCAATAGGCGAATGACAAGAATCTTGAATGGCGTCCCTACTTATACCCTATTGGCTACCGGAAGCACCGCCAATACATTTTTATAAGTACAACTGGAATCAAAATGTATTTGTTCATTAATCAACTTATTTCTATCTTTACATTTTTCCTTGTAAATATACAATTCTTCCCAAGCATTCATAACATATCCTTTCTTACAATTCTTTAAAATATCTAGACTATCCTCCATTTTTCCTAGTGAGTGCCCATTTTGTAACAGGTGTTGTGCGACATTTGATCTTTCCGGTTTGTTGTTCCTCCACGCAGATATGTGGTTTTTGAAGCGGTTTACGAAGTTCACAGTCTGTCCAATGTAGAAGCTATCACAATCGTTACAATTGATTTTATAGATGCCCGAAGTGTCAAATTTGTTACAATCTTCTATTTTTGGATGCAGTATTTTACTCATGGTGTTCTGAGTCCTGTAGGCTATTGAAACTCCGTATTTCTTGAATCTGTTAGCAGTCCTTTGTGTTGTAGTCCCCGTGTAGCTAAATGTGATATATCTGGTGCTTTCCTCTTTCATCTCTTCTAATGTTGTTCTGCTGTGTAGTGTATTCTGTCTATCGATTTTTCTCCTCGTCTTCCTTGCGATGTCCTCTATCGTCTTGGTTCGAAATCCATTCACTTGAGCGATCTTCTTAATGGTGTCCAGTTCTTTTTTCCTATTGGCTTGGCTAAGTGGGATCTTATAGGCTCGGTACAGCATAGATCGAAAGGCTGCGGTCTTGTGGATTGTCGGATGGATAGACTTGTTGTTGATTGTAGTGTCCGTTTGCGTAGGTTTCCTGTAGATGCCAAACTCTATCTTGCTGTCTTTTCTCTCTAATGTGAGGTCCAGGAAGTTGATCTTTTTGTTTTCTTCAAACTCGTTGGTAAAGGTGAGGTTTGGGTGGTGGCTGTTTAGTGTCTGCATCATCGTTTCGTACTCCTGCTCCTGGGCTTGTCTGAAGATAACAAGAATGTCGTCTACATATCTAACATACAGTTTTACATCATGATTGTTTCTTAAATTCATTATCATTTCTTTTTCCTGATGTTGTAAAAATATTTCTGACAAAATTGCCGAAAGTGGACTTCCCATAGCTAAACCATCTGTTTGTTCGTAAAATCTATTGTTAAATCTAAAATAATTTTGCTTCAAAACAGCCACAAGCAATTTTACAATCTGATTGACATATTCATCGTCTAAACTATTCTGCAAAAGCCTACATTTAACAAGATCTACAGTTTCTGATATATACAAACCGGAAAGATCAAATGTCGCACAACACCTGTTACAAAACGGGCACTCACTAGGAAAAATGGAGGATAGTCTAGATATTTTAAAGAATTGTAAGAAAGGATATGTAATGAATGCTTGGGAAGAATTGTATATTTACAAGGAAAAATGTAAAGATAGAAATAAGTTGATTAATGAACAAATACATTTTGATTCCAGTTGTACTTATAAAAATGTATTGGCCGGTGCTTCCGGTAGCCAATAGGGTATAAGTAGGGACGCCATTCAAGATTCTTGTCATTCGCCTATTGGGTCTGATGATGATTGGAGTGTACAATCGAAATCGATCACCACTTACCATCGTTTTTGTATATTTACCGTCTTGTGAGTAACAGTATAAGCGTAAATATATGTTTTAAGTGTTATAAGACGTTTCTTTTATTAACTTTCCGTAAATTTAATAACACGTACAATGCTGATCAAGAAGTTATGTTAAATCATAAAACAACTACCGTTAAATCCAAGCGTTTAACGAAATGGGAAACGCTGCAACAGCTAATCGTAGTCGTAGTATCTTTAAGTGTTGCCAACTTATTTCCTTATTTTCAAGCGTACACGTATTTTACGTGCCTAATAAAAGCATAAATATGTAATGTACACACATTGACTATTGGATACTGAAGTAGACATCCCATCTATATGGACCAGATGTCATCATTTTCTTATTATAAAACACTAGTTGTTGTACCCGTGCTTTGCAACGGAAAGAGGACACAAAATAGAAACATTTTAATCTTTACATCTGTTGCATATAATAGTTACACATCCGCCAACGCTTTTACAAACAAAATTCAACTTTTATGGCCTTAGAAACGTTTAAATGATGACTTTTACATCTGGTAAGTAGTGGATACCACCATTTTATCTCCCTTAATTACATATTTTTTTTATTTACTGTATTGACATTTTAAATTGCAATTTTAAAGTTACTACTAATTATTAAATTTCAATGAACATTTTTTTTTATTTCACTCTTCTTTATATTAAGTCACAAATTCTTCAATCGTCAGTTTCTTCACTCACAATAAATCATTAGCAAAACTAAGTCAGCTGTTATAAACTTTAGAAATATTGCTGTGCCTTATCAATACAGTCTTTTGAAATATTAAAGAAACTATATCTATAGGTACTATAAAAATTGTAAACAAATAATTTAATTTAGCATTAAAGACAGCAGACAAAACTAATATGATTATCAAAGCATCAAGGACTAAAAAATGTAACGACAAATACAGTATATGTTTCATTGCATCTCTGATTCTACTCTACAAAAATATCACCAAACAACGTAATATACAAACCAGTTCTTTTAATCAGTTCCATCGTCCATTGCCTTTACATTTTCACAATTACCATTAAGTAAAACATAGTAACAGATATTTCATTGATTCTAGAAACAAAAGAACACTGTGTACTGCTTAGTTTTATGATATTTTTCTTGGTTTAAT